GTTGCCATGAGTCAAGATCGACATGAGGGTAGTTAACAACAAACAACTAATTTGAGCTGTGGTGCTGTAGAAGAGTACTGCAGATATCATGGACTGTCAAAAAGACAAACAGAACAGATAAAGCTTGAACTCTCCCTGGAACACCTGTTTTAACATCTCTTTCTCTCTCTCTTCTCTCTCTCTCTCTCACATGCTCATGTGCAGACACATGTCTGGAGAAGGAAGAAGGTCTTGGGGAACATTCAACGCTGTCGGTGAGTTTTGTCAGTGCAGTCAAACCATCGACTGTTGAGTGTACCCTGCGGCTTTTGCAGACACTGCCAATGAGGAAAGATCCACCAGCAAGCAATCACGTCCGCCAAACAGAAGGGGCAAAGAAATGGTTTGCTGCCCCGTGTGCTTCCAAAGGGTCAGCCTGTGAAAGGAACATAGTCAAGAAAACAAGGAGGTTTTCCTCAGGCTCATCTGCCTAAAGCAGTTTTGGATTAAATTACTTTGTAATTGATGCATAAAACATACAATGGCTGGGTTGCTAATTGGCATTCCAAAAGCCACTTGAAATCCCTTTGGCCTTCCAGACAACATTAGCCAAAGATGTTCATTGGCATTCCAGTAGCCATTTGGCTTTCCGTTTACCTTCTGTATTGAAGCCAACCAGAGAGTGATAAACTAGATATCCACAGAAATTGAATAAAAAAAGTCTATAAGGTCATATAAACTTTGTGGTTGAAAACCCCCAAATGGTATGGGCTAGTTACTGCCTTTGCTCACTTTTGAATTGCCTTTTTTTACCCATATTTTTAAAAAGGGTGCCACTTCTGCCATTTCCAAAGGTGGTTGGGGATGGTGTGAGTTTTAGTGCATCACATCTGGAGGGCACAAGGTTGGGGAAGGATGGTATAAAAGATAATATTGAGGTTGCTGAGGTCAGGCAGATATTGCAGGGTCCAGATAACTAGGGCAATAATGGGCAAAGAAACTCCAAATGTTCTCAGACTGCAACTCCCAGAATCCTTCACCATTGGCTGTGCTGACTAAGGCGCCTAGGATTCACAGTCCAACAACATCTGGAGGGCCTCATGAATCCCACTTCTGATTTAAAAGACCATTCAAAACAAAGTCAAAATAAACACCTAATCTACCGTATATTGATTGTTAATCT